TTTGGTATCCTAAAACTTTATCTTCTTGTTTCCTGCTAGTATTGCTGTTCTGTCTGTTCAGATTGAATCAAAGAACCATTGGTCTTTCAAAAATTGCTGTGTTATAGTATTGAAAATATTTGTTTTCTGTAAAAGAATGATATCTAGTTTGTATGATTTTAACAATGTTAATGTTCTAAGTTATTTGTTCAGATTATTTAAGCCTTTAACATTTAAAGTGGCAATTTTGATTAATATATTATTCATAAAAAGAATTAATGATTTTTAGGGCTTTCTCAGGCCCTTTGTTTTAGTTCATTATTCTGGTTTTCTTTGTTTACCATGCTGTAGGGTTTTGCATCCTTGTGTTTTCTTTTTTTTCTTACTACTAGTATGAATACTGCATTTTTAGTATTTTTCTAATTAACTGTATGGTCATTCTTCTAATTTATGTCTATGTTCTTTAAGATTAAGTTGGTAGGACAATCATCTATAATAAGCTCATTTTTTGCAAGTGGTTCTGTTTTGGCATCTATGTTATTCATGACAAGGTTCTTTTCTGATTCAGTTGCTTGTTCTTGGTTAAGTGCTATCTCTGCAATATCATTCTCTGCTGTATCTTGTGTTGTAGTATATTTCTTGTCTGTATTCATTAAATTTTCTATAATGATCTCCTCTAGAGTCTCGACTAGGTTCTTTTTTTTGTTTTTAAGTTCTTGAAAGTATTGTCTTAAATTCTTTGCTTCTTGAAATTGCAAGCAGTTTTTCTTAATATGACCTGTTTGATTGCAGAAATAGCATACTTTTGGTGCTTCCTTCTACTCAGTTATGACTCTGTTGTCTTCAATAAATATGAAGCAAGGAAGTCTTTGCTCTAGCTCAGAGTCTTTTATATTATCAAAGATAACAATCCATTGGTTTGTTATATAAGAAGTACCTTCAATAAGTAATAGTTTAATCAAAGTGATTTTTCCAAAATTTTTAAATGCTTCCTTAACCATTATAAAGACTTGTTCTTTGGTTTCTAAAAAGATGTTGCTTACTTTTACTAGAAGGAATGATTTGTGTACATCTGTAGAAATATATTCATAGTAAGTTTTATTAAAGATTTTAACTCTTTTAGTAACATGATATGCCAATCGGTCTTGGTTTAAGAAAACAATTTTGAGATGTATTCTCAGACCCTTTCTAAAATACTGTTTGGCAGCTACAATGTCTTTTTCTAGTTCTTCATGTGTAAAAGCCATAATTTTATTAAAAGAATTATGGAAACTAGTGATTTTGATAATCAGTGCATTGTTGTTTTTAGATCTAACTTGGTTTTTGGGTAAAAAAATAACAAATGTTGATTTTCTCTTTTTCAATTTAGCAGTCAGGTTTGTGTCTTGTTTGGTTACTGAGGCATAGTTTTGAGTAACTTTGCCTGCAGACTAAGGTTCTCTAATGACACATGTTTTAACTGTTATATCTGACATGTAACTATCTTTATTGTTATTTTCATTTTGATTACTTGTTTGTTTTTATATCTAGACATGTTTTCTAAAATTCAAGTATTTTTTTCATTTTGTATTATGTTTTCTAACCAGTCTTCCTTATTTTGAACTACTACAACTGGTATTAGCTCTTCATTTCTTGCTGGTTTCATCATGTCTTGAGTTATTGAAGTGTGATTAATATTTGTGTTATTCATTTTTTTGATAAAAGAGTCATTTGTATTTTCTTTTTTTTCAAAGTTGAGTTTTTGTATTTTGAAGGTTTTTTCTGCTGGCAATAGCTTTAATCTTTAAGGAAGCTTTTTTTTTTTTGGGACAAGGACTCTGGCTCTTGTTAGTATCTTATTTAATAAGTGTTAGTTTCTTTTTGTCAAGTTTATAATTGTTGTTTTTATTTATCTTTCCTGATTTGGTGTGAACAGAAAAGAGTTTTTTTTTTAAAAAAGTTATTTTAATAAACCAATTTAATCAAATAATATTTTCATACTAATTACAAATAATGAATTTATTGTATAGAATAAAGTGTTAAATTTAAGCAATAAAACTTTATATTACAAATAAAATAAAATACTGAAAATTTATAAAAAGTTTTTATAAATAATATTATTGTTAGAATTAGTATTAGAGTATATATATTTTATTAATGTTAGCTAAATAATGTCATTTATAAAAACTGTTCTAGACATAATTAACTTATCTAGAATTATAACATATCTAAGAAACAAAAAATAATTAGTGTAATTAATATCCAAATAATTATATAGAAAAATATAATAGATTTCTTATTAAATCTATATGATTATATAATATACAAATCTTGATCTATGTTTTTATACCTTAATTAAGAAGGTTAATAGTTTAGCAAAAATAAAAACTATATTTTTTAATTTATTTTTTAAACAATTAATGAAAGTTAATATAAAAGAATTTAGTAATATATAAGATATGTACTGTATTTAACAGACCAAACCATTCTTTTTGTTAGATTATATGAATAATACAGTATAATAAATATATTATGCATTTACATGTATCATTGAAATATCCCATATTATTCAGTAATTATTTTACAAAGTAAGGTAGTTTGACCTATAAAATACAGTACATATATAGAAAAATATAATGCATATTATATATTTAACTTTATTAAAGCATATTTATAATTTTAATATAATTTGTATTTATATGGAGATATATTTTATAAAATTATACTTCTTTATAATTATCTAATTAATGTATGCTCAACTGCATGGTTATAAAAAAGGATGACTATAACTAATTTTTTATAAAATGTTAATTTAAAATTTTAAATATAATTAAAATTATTTTAAATATATATAAAATAAATATTAAACTATACTATAACAAATAATACTAAAAAAATAAAAATAATATTTTATATTTATAATAATATTAAAATCTAAAACATTTACAAAAATAATAACATAAATCTGATTTAAAATACATGTTATTAATGTTTAAATTAAGAAATTAACAATAATAATAACTTTAACTTAAGATACAAGTTTATTGTAAATTTTAAATTATTATTAAAATATTTTAAAATAATTAATAATAAACAAACCAAAAAAGATAAATTATAAAGATTATTAACTCAATTACCAATTTGAAATTGTTACAAATAACATAATAAGAAATATAAAAAACTAGTAATAATTAAAAATAATAAAACTAAAATATATTAAAATTGATATAAGTAATAGATTTCAATTTTCTTAGCAAGCAAAATAATTTAATAACAATATTGTCTAAAATATCAAGAACCTTAAACACCAATGTTAACTTAGTACCATAATGTGTAAGGTGTGCAATAAAATAACATAAGTACCATTAAAAATAACTATAAAAGATTAACAATTTGTATTGATTTAATATAATCTAAATTAAATATATAATAAAATAATTTTATAAAATATGTAATAAAGTCCTTCTTCTTACTAAATTGAATATAAACTAGCAATAATTGCCAATTTTTTAAAAAAAAATTTAATATAAACTCGAAGGGTCATTTTTCTAATAATGATTCTAATTGTTAGGTATTCTGACTGATAGATTTAGTAATTACAAAATTTCAAAATTATCTGCATTGTGTATCAATTTAATCGTCGTGTCACGTACCCCTGGATCACGTGACCGAACAATTAAGTTTTAGGGTTTTGACATAGACCCGTATCAAACCTCTAGAGTTAACCTGTTTTAGACTAGAGTCACGAATTAGTTCCTAGGCCGGACATTTAAGAACCGGATCAGAACCTGAATGAATGGACTTCTTCACATCCCTACATGAACTCGTCTTTGTTGTACAAATATTATAATTATTTTTGAATAGTCAAAATGGGACGTTAAACTAAAAAAAAACAACTTATATCTTGTTAAGTAAAAAGATCAAGATTTTTTATATACGTATACTTATATGTACAAATTTTTTAAATCAAGTTCAGGTTGGTTTAATTAGTCACTAAATTAAAATAACAGCATTATTCTATTGGAGGGTTCTACTATCGGACTAGAGGTATACGTACTACGTATAAATAAATATATCTGATATGTAATGATTACTAAAACCGTGAATATCGTGAATGAATAAATGAACTACGGATCATGCGAGATATGCGGATCCCAAATAATTTAAGATGCACCGGATAATCCTGGATACACAACTTACATATATATGTGCAAATGTACATAATTTGTCACGTGAATTTTGCTTTATAAATCGATTAGTAATCAATTTAAAAGCAGCCTGGTCTTGGATGGCGTAATTTAATCTAAGAAAGGATTGATTGATTGAAATGATATTCAAAGATCCGAAGGGACATACATATATTAACTTATTATATGCAAATATGACGAGTATTTATGGTATTAATTCTCTATGATACATATCGATCGGTATGATGTGAAAAAAAAAGAATTTTTATTGATTTAATAATAAAAAATCAGGTGATTATCGATATATGAATATTCAGGCATAAATGTCACCTGATCTAAATCAACCATCTCTAAATTAAATAATTATGTATATGTATCATATAAATTAGTCACTCTATTATATATAATCATTGGAACAGTGACTTCATTGTAACTAGTGATTTGTGAGATGTCATAATGTTACAAGAATAAGTTATATCGAATAATCACATCTAGAATACCTTGGAGAGTTGCATAGAATGATTAATGATAAAGAGATATGCATTAAAATATCAAATGTATCAAGAAAAATGCGAATCAATATTAAGATCGCGTAGAGTTCATGTACATTATTATATGTATATTTATTATATACGCTCTTACAATAATGACCAAGTAATCACATTAGTGGATTTATTATCCCTGATGTACAATACGTACAAACAATTTTCGGACAGTACATAAACGAGAAAGTAAGTATCACCACATTAAAGCTTTTAGCTTTTAAACATAGAATCCAGAAATACGTTTCCGTGTAACATATTGGATCAGATCGCGAAAGAGATGAGCAACTATACGTGATGTGTAAGGCAAGAATCAACAATGCATGTCATAAGGTATTTTAAATTGATCTAAATAAGGGAAAGACAACAAGTCATCTTCACGAAGTATTGCTTGAAGTATCGTTTCCCCACGTAATGTAAAAGGATACAATCATCATATTTTACTCACATAATAGATTCAAGAATCATTACTAGAGCTCATACGTACATATAAAGGAATTAATACAATTCAGGAGACTAGTATTTTATCAACCTAGATTAGCTCTTAAATAAAATAGTGAGTTTTCAAATTTATTTACCGATACTGATACATATCGATATAATTTAATAAATTCATTACTGTAGCAAAACTAATTCGTTAGTACAAAATGAAAAGAATATATATAAGATATATTATTGATTCATGGCTTTTAGTTTATGTATGTACGTACATACTTTTTGTCGTGACCAGCCTATTACATAAGTATTAGTATAGATATGTATTAGCACATATGAACAAAATTACTTAATCTCAAAAAAAAAAAAACAACCAAATTACAAATTATATATTATTATTATTATTATTATTATGAAAAATCAAGTTCGAAATTCCCATTAAAAGATGAGCCTTCATCTTCTGTTGCCATTATCGCTGGTTCATCACCACTAAATCCTCTAAAAGTAAATGGGAATTGTTGAATTGAATCTGGTGTTTTTGGTGAAAAACCTACAACGCGTAACCTTTTTGAATACCAATTTATAATTTCTTCTTCTTTGTTATTTATACAATCTTTTAATTTTTGTTCCATAGATTTCTTTAATTGATAAAGATTGTTATTTGTATCTTGTAATGTACGTTTTGGAGTATAATAAGGTAAGACTCTAAATGCAATAATTATCATGCTTATTATGATTATTATTATTATTCTTATTATAATAACTATCAAAGCAAAAAAATGGTTTAAATAAATACGTACATGCTGGATGGATCATTTACTAATGGTTTATATTCCGGAGGTTCTGGTACAATACCTCCAAAGCTAAATATTGAAAAAAAAATTGTAATGACGCGTGATTTTGCATTAATTTTTTGGTTAAAAATATATATAAAACCTACATTGAAGGAAGTGGTGGTAACTTGTCTGGATCCGGTTCTGTATAATCTGTATAATCATTTGATGGTAATTCCATCGCTTCCGGTATCCTAAAAACCATAATGATAATGAATAACACCCCCCGTGTTTTGATGTAAATCTAATGATTTTCAACTTACACCCAATCCCAATTATCAACATCTGGATTCATCAATTGATAATGTCTTGCCCAATGACCCATTAAAGCATGAGAAAAATCCATGGTATAATCCATAACAAATTTTTTTGTACTCTTCCAACGTTTCAAAGAATCACAAATAACTTGAAGATCGGTTGCGATCTTTAACGTTTTAGAAAAATGTTGAATATTATCAAAGCTTAAAATTTCACGACAAATTCTTAAATCATTTTCAGCTACATAAAAATCTCGAGCCAATAAATCTTTTTGTCTATATAGTTCAACCATTTGATCGAAACTTGCATTTGGAAATATGTACCGAACAGTTTCGAAATTCGGATTGTTTAGGGTTCGAACGACATCTTCGAGAAAATCTTTAAGAAATCGACGACGATCCGAAGATGGAATCGGATACGTCATTTGTAATTTTAAAAATGAGAATGTATAAGGGAGTACGTGAACGGAAGGATTGAGAATGGTTGGACGCTTTGACCTTTTATATTATTATAAACAATGGAGTAAGTGGAGTTGATGATATGATGTCATGTGATAAAAGTACTAGTAAATCATTATTTCTCTTGCTTCGCACATACGTATGTACGTATAAATCATACAATCACATCGTATCTATCATGACTAAAAAAAGAAAATCGTTATAATCACTTTATAATAACCTGAAATTTTTTCGTCATTCTACGTATATCTGAAAAATTTCACTAAAGTCTGTATCGACTGTTACATATTTATTCGTTTAGAAGATTTTCTTTAAATTACAAAAATGGCTCCAAAATGTCATGAAGGTAATTTGCAATGGAAACAATGGTAATATTAGTATTGGTAATAATGATAATGCTAGAGATAATACCAGAAATAATACTGAAATACCAAAAGTATCATCATTTTACTGTAATAATACTGCTTTTACAATCTTTACAATCTTTACAGTCTTTACAGTCTTTACAATTTTTACAGTCTTTACAGTCTTTATTAGTCTTTATTGTTTTACACTTTTACATTAACTTTTTATATCTTTGCACTTTTTTTTATTTACATTCATATTATTTACGTTAATTTGTAAAATATTGGTTTCGTCAATGTATATCAATATAAATACACATGTATATACTTTTTTTTTCTTTTGCTACTCTAGAAACTCCATCATATGATATATCCGATTACGAAGATGCAAATTTCCAAGAACTATTCGAGGTTTTATTTCTTTAAAAAAAAATTGTTTTTTTTTAAAAAAAAAAATCACATTTAAATTTAAAAAATCAACTATTCGTATAAAAAAAGGTCCCATTATTAGACCAACAACCATCACCTCAATCATATGTAGCAGCAATTCTAAAAATCAATGATTCACAAACAGAACTTCGGATTTCGAAATATCCTAACTTGAGAGTTCCTTGTTTTTGGAACGAAACTCGACATATTGAGGTCTTTCTTTCGAAATTTATTTATTTATTCATTTGTTTTTATATATATATTTTTTTTAAAATATTAACTTTTTTTTAAAAAAAAGGAATCAGAAGCAAGTTCTGATTCGAGGATTATCGTTACGGTGTTGTACACTATCCACGACGCTGATGGTAGTCAATTAGATCAAGGTTTTTATTTAAAAATATATATATCTTGTATTGAAACATTTGATAAAAATTTTTAGTGACTGATACTATTTTCGTTTATTTAAAAAAAGCATATCATGAACATGTTTGTGAAGTTGTGAGTTATAATTTTATTGATCAGTTGAAACAAAAAATTGAAGCAGGTTAGTCAAACCATTCTTTTTCATAATTGTTCATCCTATTCATAACTTTTTCACTTTATTAGATGGTAAGATTTGGATAGATGAAGATTGGTATTCCCTATAAACGAATGAATAAATACCATTGTTATTACTTGGAGAGTTATATATTGATATGAATGATGGTCTTTATTGATTGGTATTATTACATATCGATATGGTTATTATGCGGATTAATAAAATGTGATATCATAACCGATCGTTGCAAAGACTGCCTAAAAGAAAAAAAAAAGAATTACTTTATGAGAAAATACGTGTAATTAAAAAAAATATATTCGGTTTCATATAAAAAATAATTTTGCAAATTTTCTTTTAGCTATTTTGTATTATATAAGTGCTATATTTGCTATATTTATGATATTTATTATTTTTTATTACATTTATTTAAATTCATCATCTAAAACATAGTTAAATACAGGTAAAAAAATTATTCTCAAAAAAAAAAAAAAAAGACAATTTTTTATTCATAAAAGTTTTTACGTATTTTTTTATTTTTTAATTTTAAAAAGGTATACAAGAATATAAAGAGTATAAGTTTGGGCATATATTACACGTGTCTGTGGAACTAATTTCTCTGTGATATAAGACAGTCTCTTTGTGTGATAATATGAAAGTGATAAAAAAGGTGATATAATAAGGATAACATTGAATGATTAAAGGGCTAATTCTCAAGTTAACTATATATTCAAGTTAACTACATATATTAAACGATTAGTCCAAACAATGCCAATCCGATTAAAAACATAGACAAGGTTAAAATCAATGTTCCATAACTAACTTTTGGAATTCCAAATACTGGTAAACAGTATCCCCAAACAACATGTAATAATCCATGAATAATCGCTGCTGGATAAACAAGTGTTGATTCGAATGCTATCCAACAACTAAAACCAATGTGCGCAAAAATCCAAGTAACCCTCCACATAACACCTAAATATATAAATATATATATATACGGATAAGAGTTTAATAAAAGCAATTAATATATAATTAAATATATATAAATAAATATATATAATAATATAATTTAAAAAATTACTTACCCCACCAAGCAGATACTTTGGTTAATGGTCTTCCCAAAATTTCTTCCAATTCCCGTCTTTCCTCCGCATATTGACCATTTAAACCAGCTTCCTCTTTATACCATCTAATCTCAATAAAATTTTGTATAATAAAATAAATTGCTTCTGCGGTGGCCCAGCCTAAACCTAACCAGTATGCTATTAAAAATTCTTGATAGATATTGTTACCGGTCGAAGCATCTTCACGTGCGTAATATAACCAAACAAGTCTTACAAATTCTTCAATAAATCCGATTAAAAGTAATGTTAAAATACCACTAGTTGAAAATTTAACTTTTACCAACTTTGAGAGTAAAAAGAATGAAGGTCTTCTTAATAAGTATACTAAACTCCAACCACTAATTCCTAATAAAAATATATTCCAATGTTCTATTATGATCCTATTATCACTACCGTCATTATCATCATTATCATCATAATTTATTGGCCAAATATATAATAAGAGTATGAAAGAAAATATGGCGATGATGATGAAAGGTGTTGTTATAAGGTATTCGTTAAACAATGTATTAAAATCCTTTTCTTGTTCTTCTTCTTCATCATCTGAATAACTTGGTAATGATGTATATTGTAGATGATGACTGTCTGAAGAATATGGATATTGGTGTATGTGGTTTAGAAATGCTGTAGGTAAAGATAGATGTGGTTCTATATTTCCTTGCGGATGTCCATGTGAAGAAATCGTACCATAACTTGGTGGCCTTGAATTTACTAGATGATTTTTATTTGACATTATCTTCTTAAAATATATATATATAAAAAAAAAAAAAAAAAAAAGAGGGTTTATTATTTACGGAGGTGAGAAAATGGACTTTTAAAAGTCTCTTGGTACTGTGGGAATTTAATTCAACGATCAATCAATCGAGAACCGAATGATCTTTATTGAAATGGACCATCTATTACTTGAGTGCACATAAATAGTTTGTGAAACTCTACTTTTTTTTTATTTTATGAAGTAACATACGCACACATATGTACATACGTACGTAAGTACGAGTGAAACCGGGGCTTTTTTGTTTATACTATATTGGAAATTTTTTTTTACATAATTCACATAATTCACATTATTTCCTCCTAAATTTGGACAATTCAAATGAGTAAAGAAGTCTCGGTTCCTTACAGGATTCACTAAATTTTATAACGCATTTACCACGGCAATCTTTGATGACGCAATATCTACTTAGAATGAGATAGTATTTAATGTGACCAGGTAGCCAAATCTTTTGCTAATGACTGACGCTCAATGACCATCAGTTTTTTTTAAATATATTTATTTTGTAAATATTTTTCGAAATTTTAGATGTTTTTTTTACATTATGAATAAAAGCATTGTACTCGTTATGATCGGTTATCTCCTTTCAGATTTTATAGATTATCTTGAGAGAGGCACGATTACATAAGTTTCTTTTGGTTCTTTGGTGATACTGCAAACAATTCATTTTCGGCAAAATTACGGTTTTAACGGGAAAGCCATGTCACGTGAAGGTATGTCATTCACGTGATTAGGCCTAGCCTCGTCAGTAAGATGCCCAGAATTATGCAGTGCGATAAAAATAAATTTAAATTTATGCGAAATAATTAAATAGAGGATATGATTTTAAATGAAGGATGCGATTTTTAAACCTTCTCTGAAAAGATTATTTATTTATTTATTTATTTATTAAATTTTAAAACATTCAACGTTTTAATTGAATTTTTTGACAAAGTATGCCTATTATCTGCTAAAATTCGCTTGTAAACCGAAAAGTTACATCCAACATAACCAGTAATCAAATATATACTAATGCAATTTCGTCATAAGGCTTATTAAAAGCGGTAATTACATTGAACAAGAGTTTTTTTTTAACGTTAAGTGCAGAGTTTTTTTTTTTGATTCATGGGTAAAAGAATAAAAGTCATCTTAATACGAAGGATTTCTATAATGTCGTTTTGTGGTTGTAACCATATTTCTTTATATTTTCTTAATTAAACGTCTAGTTTTGTCTTTTAACATGAAAGAATTGAAAAAAACATTTATAACCATTTTATAAAAAAAAAAACTTTATTAAAATCTTGGATATCCACTTTATTGATCTTATTTTTCTTATTGTCATTTAAAAATCAGATCTGCCAATCATGTTTGAGCCACATGATCAGTATGATTTTTTTTGCTTGATTATGTATACGTAGTATCCGTGGATGTGAAAAAATGATAGATTATGTGCATATTATGCGATCACATAATCCTGGAAACCTTACTCATTAGAAACGCAAAACCTACATTTTTGATATTCTTGCATCTACTTTTTTAATACATCTACTTATTTGATATATGTGTGTAGCATGCATGTAATCTATCAATATAGTTGTACTTTGTAACAGCATGATGAAAGTTTATTGAAATTTTACTGATTTCATTAAAAGATTAGTAGTATTAATCAGTGTTGTTAATTTTTTGTTTTATTAATAAAAATTATATTCTATTCTAATTTCTATTGTTTTATTGTTCTATTTATTTATTTTTTTTGTATATTAAAATTTCTGTTTTTAAAAAGCAATTTTATTAAGTTATTATGAACATAGAGTCTTCAGAAATTTTCTTTATATAGAAGATTACAACTAGTTACATGTGTACTTTTGATGCCTAATTTTAGTCTACTTATATATTATTATACAATTCTATACTAGATGCTATACTTGCAAGTTAACTATAAATCTTGTTTATTTAAATCTTCTGCATATATAATTCAACTTGTATTACAAAAATATATAACATCTCTTTAAAACACAGTCTATTCAAGTTTCTGATTTTTATTAATATCTTTAGACCTATTTTATACTTAACAAAAAATTTATTAAAACCTTTTATGTTTTATATACAACTAATCTAATTTTATATAACATGTTATAATCAGATTAATATTTGCAATTACAAATATTTTGTTAAACTGTACTATTATATTATTTCTACTTTTATAAAGTTATTAAAACTTTAATACATATTATTTTAACATCTTTTTTTTACTCTAAACCTGATTTTTCAAACTACAAATTTAAATAGTTTGGTAAATTTATTTCTAAGTTTTTGATATATAATTAAGAATTTTTTTTTGTCAAATTTTAACAATTTGATTGATTATATGCTTTTTTATATATATTTGTTATTTAGTTTTATCTGATCTCTTTTAAGGTCTTCATTAGTCTAATAATAGTATTAAAATTTTATATTATCTTTTTATTTAAGATTTTCAAATAAATTTTTATTTTCTAGTTCTTTAGTATTATATATTTAGTAGTTTATTATAGATTTATATTAAAGTTTATATAATACTAGTTTTTAGTATTTCTTTATATATATATTATTTTAATTTATAATATTAATTAAAAATTTACTAAAGTATTTATAAATTTCTTATTTGCTTTAAATTAGAAAAATCTTATTAGATATAATATAAAATAAAATTACTTGTTTTAATAAAAATTTATCAATTAATTAAATGTTAAAGTTGAATTTTTTTTTTAAAAAAAAAACTAATAAATGTTATTAATAAAAATTACTAAAAAAAAAGAAAACTATAAACTTGCTTTAACAAAAAATTATTAAATAATTAAACAATTAAATATTGAAATTGAATTTTTTTATTAAAAAAATAAATAAATTAATAAACTCATTAATAAAATTACTTTTCTAGCTAGACAAGATATTAAAAAAAGAACAACAATAAAATTACTTATTTTAAAAAAAGAATTTTTTTTTTTTTTTTAAAAAAAAGATCTATCCTTTATCTTTTTTATTAATTAGTTAATTTATATATATAAGATACATGTTGAATAAACTAAGCTAGAGGAGATGGAGATAAAAGCTACTTTACTCTCAATTTATTCTTTGCTAGAATAGTTAATAGCCCTTTAGTCTATAATAAAATAACTAAGAGAAGATTGTCTATACATAATGTAATGATCTATTTTTTTATTTAATAAAAAAAGTAAAATTGGTTTAGTTTTGTTTAATACTGAGGTTTGTAATAGTAATAAAGTTGGATAAAAAGAGTTATGTTGTATTGCTTTGGATAGAAGTTGAAGTTCTTTATATATTGTAAAGATAATGTTGTAATAAATAAGAAGAGCATATTTAAGTTTGTATTTATTATTTTTAAAAAGTACTAGAGTGCTGCTAGTTATTATACCTAATGGTATTTGTTTATTGATATGATTTGATGTAAAAGCTCAAATAAAGCTATTTATATTATGACTAAATATTTCTAGATTATTTGATATTTGGCATACTGCATATCTTATTAAAGTTGAAAAATGCAAATGGTTTTAAAGAAAATTAGAAAATGTATAATATCTTCAAAGCATTATAACATCTTGAACAAAGCTAATTTGAACATTTCTCTAATAAAAAAGAAGGTAGGTAGGCAATTCCTCTAATAGTAGTTTGATTTTAAAGTTTTTTAATGCAGACAAAGCTGGATCAGTTGTTAATGCTAAGGTTTTTCTTCATATAATATATATTGTAAAATTAAGAACTAGTTAATATTGTTTTGTAGAGTATGCTATTGAGAGATTTATTATTGAAAAAACCAAGTCATCCTGTTTGTAATTTGTTGAATCTGCTTTATTGTAGTTTTTAATAAGTATGTGTATAAATTGTCAAGAAGTTTTGAAATGAATTGATTATGCAGAAATTTTTGTAATATAAAATCTAATAAAAAGATATTATTCTGAGTTTCTTAGATTTTAAGTTCTTTGTCAAAAGTAATTGTAAGTATATGATTATATATTATTGCTTTTAGTATTAAAAGAAGATATGTATATTGTTGCTTGTCTAATATAGAATAGTTGTATGGTTGGACAGACTGTATAAGATTGATTAAGTCAACAAGTGAAGAGTTATTGGTATATATGTTTATATTAATATAAAGGTTTGTAAAAGTAAGCACAAAAGTTAGCAATGTTATTAAAGAATTTAGATAAGAAGGCTAAAGGTTGGTGAAGCATTCAAAAAAGATATAAAAGTGCTAAAGATGATATTTTGCTATTATGTAAAATTTATTTTCTATATTTTATTGAACACTTATTATATAAAATGTTATATTTTTCTTATTGAAATTGGCTTTGGTTAAGGTATTTCAAAATGGTATTGAAGAATTATTAAATATGCTAAGTGGTCTGACTAGGTTAGGTTGTATTGTTTTTTGATTGTAAGGTTGTACTATTGCAGATGAAATTAGGTCTATGGCTTTTTTAAAATTGTTTAAGTCAATATGAATCTTTTTTTTATAGTCTATTTAAAGGTTATAAATTGTTTTGATTACATTAAAGTAGTAGTATTTAGATGAATAAGCCTTATTTTTTAGTATGCATTTCTGGTAAGCTGTTAGTATATTGTTAGATTATATAATATAGTGTCAAGTTTTGAAATATTTGTTAAAGAAATTATATATTTTTCCAAAAATTATGTTTTTTGTAATTATTTAACTTTTTTTTTTAGATATTTATTTGGTCAGAGTATATGAATTTAATTTTAAAAATGTTAGTGATAAGTTTATGAAAGCAATTATTAGGTTTTGCATCAAACAAAACCAATAGAGACATTGATCTTAAGTGATTTTTTTAATGTTATAATGAAAGTTATTTTAAGTTAAAAGTTCTATGCTTGTTGTATTTAAAAATTGTTTTATGCTTATAATATTATGATTATTTAGTTTCTCTTTGAGATAGGAGGCTCTAGAATAACTTAAGAGGATC